TTATAATAAAAGTGAAATTATGGCATATGGTCTTAAATCTTCCTAACAAGCAATCTGACAATTATAGTCTGTGCAATATCAGTATTTTTATCACTTTGTGGGAGCAATTCCCTATATTTTATGGTCTGGAAATAAATGGTCAGAAGTCAGGTTCCAAATGTTCAGTACAGAGACAATGTGTGAGCAGTTGTGCACCCTTTTACCAGAAACAACAACCACAAACCCCAGCTCATTGATAGAGATACCTCTGAAATTCTCATCTGAATTCCTGCCCAGATTTTAGAGCATCAAATATTCCTGGCTGCGTTTGAAAAAAAGAAACAATATATTTGGAAACCTCAGCTATTGCATTTTAAAACAATAAAAACATGCACATGTTCAGCAAAATGCTGTATATGCACAACCTTCAGTTTGTTTTATTCCATGCCTCTGGGCTGAACTGACTTGGGAACCCATTAGACTTCTGCCGAGGCAATGGACCGATCTCTGAATTTCAGCCAGCCTTTTAGATCCCAGAAGAGAGCAGCCATTCATTACACTAAGTGTAAATTGCCACATTCGTGCCTAACACTTTTTCACTCTGCAGTCTCCACTTTGGGAGTTAATCTAACGGCAGACAACATCTGTCCAGAGTTTTAGAGGTTTTGTTTCTTCTGTAATTTTTTCATTTTTTTTGTACCATATTCAACAGTCATGGAAAATTCAAAAGCTTTTGTGACAGATAGGGCCGATTATTGATAAGATCTGGAGAGGGGTTTCAGGAGCTGAGAATGTGAGAAGTGTTCATTAGTTTGGAAATGGTCTACACTTATTCTTCAGTGAATGAAACAGGATTTTTCCTGATCATTACGTCTTTAACAGAAAAACTGCTATCAGACATGGAAATAACTGAAAGAAGAGGTTTCAACATTGCACACTAAAAAAAGCAGCTTAGGTTAAATATTTTTAAATATCTACATAAAACTTTAAGATAAGACTGACCAACTCTGATTAAACCATTATTCTAACCTTCTTCAATTATATGAGTCTCCACTGCCAGATAATCTAGGATAAGAATATAATCTGGGTATAGGACACTGTAGAAGGGGCCACAATCTGTTGTTTCTGGACAGTGCAAAATCTAAAAAAATAATAACTTCACTTGTATTTTAATAGTGTTTTATCTCATGTTTTAATGATGATGTACCTCACCTCAAGTCACAAGAAGAGGTGGTAATAATAATAATAATAATAATAATAATAATAATAATAATAATAATAATAATTTAAAACAAGTTATATTCTTTGAATAGATAAAATGGCAAACTTTAAAAATATTTTTATTTAAAATAAATTAAATCTTCTGATTTCCCATTATGTCTGAACTATTCCTATGTGTTCCAATGTCTCCCAAGGGCCCCTTCCACACAGCTGAATAAAATACCACATTTTCTGCTTTGAACTGGAATATATGGCAGCATGGACTCAGATAACCCAGTTCAAAGCAGATATTGTGGGATTTTCTGCCTTGATATTCTGGGTTATATGGCTGCATGGAAGAGCCCAAGGAATATACTCCTCCTTGCATGTAATGTATAGTTTGCTTTAAATGTAGGTAGAAAGATCATTTAAACAACTTGAAGAGAGATGCACAATGTTCTTGATCTTCGTGATTATAATTTGGCAGGGGAGAACTATAATATAAAAAATGCAACTGATGTCTTCATGAAAAGTAAAGTAACAGGAATATATTTCATTATACTTTAGTCTACATGAAGATATTTGATGCAATTCTTTGAAAAAAGAATCTCATGCTTTCTCATTAAAGGGAATATTATGCCCCAAGCAAAACTAGCAGACCACTTCAAAATGCTTTAATTTAAATTACCTTCTTTACGGATTTACTCTTGGCTATAAAATCCAATTTCATGGACTTATGTGTGACATTAAATTAGGATACAAAACTTGAATGCATTTCTATTCAAAGAAATATAACAGATATTTTGCTCAATTCCATGGGATTCCAAGTTAATATCTTGGTCCATTGCCTGATTGCTTGCTCATTTTGTCCTTTTTTGTTTTAGCATTCCCCTGCTTCACCTTTCTTCCTATTTGAGTTGTCAATTGCTCTGACCTTTATTCTATCCTTTCCCTTTTTACTTTTCCCTGTTTGATTGATAGACAGGGTTTTCAGGTATTTTACCTATATATTGAATTACCACTCTCAAGATTAGAATGAAAGTTTCTGAATTTGGCTGGATGTATTAAATACACTAAAGCAGTGGTTCTCAACCTGTGGGTCCCCAGGTGTTTTGGCCTACAACTCCCAGAAATCCCAGCCAGTTTACCAGCTGTTAGGATTTCTGGGAGTTGAAGACCAAAACATCTGGGGACCCACAAGTTGAGAACCACCACACTAAGGGCATCAGATCCTGTCTGAACTCGGATGCTCTGCAGAGACAGACATGGTTAGTTCTTGGTAGCAGACCACCAACAAATGCCAGGTGCTGTAGGCTATATTTCAGAGGAAGGAACAATCAAAACCATCACGGAGTATCCCTATGAAATGAATGGTGTTGGCATAAAGCAACAGGCAACTTGAAAGTGCGCAAATGCATCTTATTAAGCATTTGACATAATGGTCAAAAACTCTCAAATTTCCCGCTGCACACGCTGTTTACAGTTGTTGATACAGATCTTGAGGATGCAGCTTACCTTTGGTGTTCCACTTTCTTCCTCTCTCAATGTCTAAACAATGCCCTTTTATTCTCTTCAACATATTCAGTCTGTTATCCAATTCATTAGCTGTGATATAATGCCATCTGCCACAGAGCTTAGCATAATACTCCTGGCTATTCCTCCCTCCTGCTGCTTCAGCTCAAGTCTTTGCTCCATTTATTCCATTATTCTCCTCCTCCCTGTACTGATTCTTTAAGTTCTTCCAAGTTAAGTTCAGGAAGACTCTCACATAATGATTCCAATTGTATGGGGTATTTGAACAGCCACAAGGTAGCAAGAGAAAGAAGCCATTTCATGGAAAACAACCTTAAATATGTAAGGGCTAGTGGGGGAATGTACTAGCTCGGACAAGTGAAAGTTTGGAAAAGTTAGTTTCCCCTTTATAAACTTAGCCAGTGCAACACTTGGTCATGCTGGTTGGGGCATTCTGAGACAAATCCCTATTTTTAAAGAAGTTTAGGCCAACATAGTGTTCCACTTTGCTGCCAGTTCCATCATCCACCAAAGAGATGATTTAGAGAGTTCCATCACCCACCAGGGAAATGATGTAGGTTGGACAACCCCCTGCACTGATTTCCTGTTTTGTTAGTATTGGCTCTTGATAAGATTCAGAATGCAGGTTATAACATTTTTGTGTAGCTCAAGCGGTGTTACAATTCCTCTGTTTGAAAAACAGTCTTACAATGTGAAAATGACTACCAAATGTGTGTTTATGTATCTGCAGACAAATACACATATAATCCCATAATTATATCTAGTGGTTGATTCTCCCTTGTATTTTAAATCCCACATGCCTTGCTGACCCCTAAAAACTTTCAGGCATTCATGTTAAATTCCAGAGGGTTCACAGAGATGCTTATAAAGCAAAAAAGTAAAACCTTCTATGCCTGCTTCAGAAAGCGCTTATGGGACATCTCTTATGTGATAAAGGGCCTTTCCTGGTCCTCCCCTGGTGTTCCCTGTAGACCAGATTTTCTTCTTTTGGATTGAGGATACAGTAGAAATAATCATAGAAGGCCAGGTAGCAGCAAAATATGGTCATCCCATTTTCAGAAGTGCCTATCTCAGATGGAGCTGGATTTCACTTGAAATTGGAATCCAAACTTTTAAATACTGGATGTTTCAGTGGGATGATAAATCTGCTGTAGTTTTGAAAGAGCTATCAGCACTGAACCCAATTTTTACAAAGTCTAGTGCTTTGAATAGATCCTTTAAAGTTGAGACAAAACTTCTCTGAGGGTCCTTCCAGACAAGGCAAAAACCCATGATGGGTTCCAGATGAGCCTGAGATATCCAAAACAACATCTCAGTCTAATCTGGATTAATTCAGAGTAAACTTGGATTTCCAGAGTTACTCCGAGTTGAAAAAAACACATCCAAAGATTCTGACCTTTGCAGGTTTTCCATGATACCAGGGATCAGTCCCCAATGCCATCCTATTTTGTTTTTATTTTTGAGCTCCAGGAGTCTGAAGAACTGGGATGGCACTGCCACCCTCCCCTACCAGTCCCTAAACAGGGACAGGCCTACCTCCAACCACATGAGATAGGAGGGGGAATCCATCCACTGCCAACACTAAAAGTGTGGGATTTGGGCCCACTGTCTGGCCTAAATTCCAAAAGGAACTAGGATTTAAAATTCTAGTTCCTTTCAGGATTTAGCCCTATCAGGAAGGGCCCCGAGATGAAAACCACTAGCTGCCATGAGTTTTAAAGCAGTATAAAGTCTCATGATGAGACCCCATCTTTCAAAGCATTCCAAGGCGAAGATGCAGCTGTGTATCATTCCTGTTGACTTTATCCACAACAGTCCAGCGCCTAAACATTCAGATGAGTAATAAGACATCTGTATAAGATTCAGTTTAAAAGAAATGGATGGTTCCTTTATATATTGTGTGGAAAATACTGCGAAATTAAGGTCTATGCTAAATATACTTAGATATTATCTTGGCTATTATAGAGTTATATATGAATCCAATTTCTCCATACATAGGTGTGCATTTATAAAAACACATCCATTGCCTTTTAACACATAGCAAGCAAATATAAAACATATTTTCCATAATTCCAAATTGAATGTAGTTTTGTAGTATCTAATATTTCATTTTCTTTTTTTAAGCTGCTATATAGATTTTTTATTTGTTAAAACTGGCTTTCAAGCATGTTTCATAGGTGATATGACATTCATGCTTTCAGCACAAGCACTGGGACACACAAATGTAAATCGACAATCACCGTGTAAGACGTACGTATAACATAATTCCAGTCTAACTGTAGCTTTACCTGAGAATGCATGCCCTGTTAGTGAATCCAAACCTGAAATTAAAGAAGTAAAACAAAAACAAAATACATATATGTTAAGAATTAGTTTAAACCCAATCAAAACTATTTTTGCCACAAAAAAATAATTTAGGTATTAAGCAGTTTGCTGGATTAATGACCAGAAAGTTACCCATTACTTCAGATAAAAGTTTTAATAATGTACAGCACTGTTACACTATGTAACACCTCAAAAATGCCTTATAACCTCTGCTTCATTCATCTCCCCCCAAAAAACCCCCACTGAGGTAGGTCACAATTATTCAAATTAGTATAGATGGAAAATTGAAAAAAGGAATAATTAACCTTATGCAATAACTGCATCTTTACCCCATTCTAATCTTATATAGACCTAGTGACCATGATCTGTATAGAAATTGCGAACTCTCCTTTTTAATGCCAGATTATTGCCGTATTATTGTTGTTGTTGTTATTTATTTATTTATTTATTTATTTATTTATTTATTTGATACATATCAAGATTAGTGCAAAGCAAAAAAGATGACTATGATGTATTAGATAACACGTCGGACACTTCCCAAGTTTCTAGGATTGTGTGATGCATTGAAGAATAATGCGTGCAGATCTGAGTAGGGTGGCCTTTTGCAGCTGACAGATGGTAATTTTGGCAGCGCCAATTGTTTTTAAGTACAGGACAAGGTCTTTAGGCACTGCACCCAGTGTGCTGATCACCACTGGGACAACCTTTACTGGCTTGTACCAGAGTGTTTACTGTTCTAAATCCTCATATTGTGTAAGCTTTTCCAGTCGCTTCTCATCAATTCTGCTATCACCTGGGATTGCAAGATTGACGATCCATACTTTGTTTTTTTCCACGATCATGAGATCAGGAGTATTGTGCTCCAAAACTCTGTCAGTCTGAATTTGGAAGTCCCAGAGTAGTTTGATGTGTTCATTTTGTGTAACTTTTTCAGGCTTATGATCCCACCAGTTTTTTGTCATAGGCAAATAAGAAGAAGAAGAGGAGGAGGAGGAGGAGGTGGTGGCGGCGGCGGCGGCAGCAGCAGCAGCACAACAAGATGAGTCCACAGCAAACAAGATCACTATGGTGGTTTTTGTATTGGATCACACGGACACTTCCCAAGTGTCTAGGACTGTTAGATGTATCAGCAAATAATGTGTGCAGATCCAAGTAGGATAGCCTTTTGCAGCTGACAGATGGTAATTTTGTCAGTGCCGATTGTGTTTAAGTGCAGGCCAAGGTCTTTAGGCACTGCACCCAGTGTGCCGATCACCACTGGGACCACCTTTACTGGCTTATGCCACAGTCTTTGCAGTTCGATCTTTAAATCCTCATATCACGTCAGCTTTTCCAGTTGTTTCTCTTCAATCTTGCTGTTGCCTGGGATTGCAACATCGACGATCCATACTTTGTTTTTTAACATGATCATGAGGTCAGGAACATTGTGCTCCAAAACTCTGTCAGTCTGAATTTGGAAGTCCCAGAGCAGCTTGACGTGTTCATTTTCTGTAACCTTTTCCGGCTTGTGATGCCACCAGTTCTTTGTGTCAGGCAGATGGTATTTGTGGCACAAGTTCCAATGAATCATCTGAGCAACGGTGTTATACCTCTGCTTGTAGTCTGTCTGCACAATCTTCTTGTAGCAACTGAGGATATGATCTATTGTTTCATCTGCTTCCTTGCAGAGTCTACACTTGGGATCTGTCATCGACTTTTCAGGTTTGTCTTTGATGGCCTTGGTTCTAATGGCTTGTTCTTGGGCTGCCAGAATCAGGCCCACCGTCTCTTTTTTCAAAGTTCCTTTTGTGGGCCACTTCCATGTTTTTTCTTTGTCAATTTGGCTCTCCATTTCCCCCAGCAACTGTCCATGGAGAGCCTTCTTTCACCACTTTTCTCTTCTGTCCTGCATTGTATTTTTATGGTATTCACTCTCTGTCTTTTGCACTTGAAGCAGTTTACTGCTATTGACTTCTCCCAATGTTGGTTCTTGACTGCCTTTCACATAATCTGCCAGTGCATCTTTCTCTTTTCTATAATTTGTTTCACTTGCAGAAACCCTCAGCCTCCTGATTTTCTGGGCAGGTAAAGTCTGTCGACATCACTACGCAGGTGTAATGAGTTATTATTATTATTATTATTATTATTATTATTATTATTATTTCTTCTTCTCTTACTAAGAATCAAAAGTGGCACTGTGAGGCTATTTAGAAATAATCTCATGCTGTTCATTTTCTGGGCTGATCCCTTATTTTGAAAAATAAGCCTGATAAGTACTGCTTCTTTTGAAGAATAATCAATGTTTCAGATTTCTGCAGGGGGCAGGAGATACCTTGTTTTGCTAGTAGTATGCCTCTTTGCTAAAATAATAATTCTATCTTATCGCGATCCCTTTCTCTTTCTTTGTGATGAAAATCAGATGTGTTGTGTGTTTAATAGCTGCCTTTCTTTCAAATAAAGTTGACAATTACTCCTTTATACATGTAAATCAATTTAAATTGATACATAGTTAAGACTGTCACTAGACCATTGTAGGAAAAATACAACGAAGATTTCTATTTTTCAGTGGAGATAATGTGGTTAGGATAATGTAAATCAATCTAGAGTCTAGATCCTTTAGCTAGTTTAGGGGGCACTGGGACCTTTGCGGCCCAAGTGTGGACTATGGGGAGTATGCCTCTCACTGAAATAGATGTATAATAATGATGGAGCAGGGCAGAGTAGTGTGACCAGCTGTTTGTACCCTGATTATACATTTTCATTATGGCCACATTCGGAAAATATTCCAGTTCTAAACATGATCAAATGCTACATCAGGCATATTTTATTTGGCTCTTTCTAATTAAAAAAAAGCATGCACTCCAAAATGAGGAAGAGAAATATTTTAATGCATCAACAATTCTGAGTTTTACATAATATAATGCACTGTGTTTGTATGTGTGTCTTCAAGTCCTCTGTTGACTTATCATGATCCCATGAATTTTGCATATTTTTCTTAGGTATGGGTTGTCTTAGAAAGGTTTAGAGGGCATGCTTATCAAGTTTGCAGATTACACCAAATTGGGAAGGATAACTAAGACTCCAGAAGAAAGGATCAGAAATGACCTTAACAGATTAGAGAGCTGGGCCAAAACTTTAAAAAAAATTGAATCTCAACAAGGAGAAATGTAGGATACTTCACTTAGGCAGAAACAATGAAATGCACAGATTCAGAATGGAGGATGCTTGGCTCGACAACAGTACATGTGAAAGGGTTTGCGCTTCATCAAAGGGGGTATGTTGTCAAGGAGACATGATAGCCATGTTTAAATATGTGAAAGGATGTCATAAGGAAGAGGGAGCAGGCTTGATTTTTGCTACCCCAAGACTAGGGGGTCTTATCAGATACTTCTCTCTGCTGCCAGAAGGAAGGTCCTTGAGCCCATCACATGACGCAGATCTAGTTCTAGCAGGACTCCATGTGGCTCCATTGTGGAAGAGAAACAGGGCCTAGAGGAGCTGTTTGTTTACCTGACTCCTCATTGAAGAACAGGCGAAGAGGAAGCGGAGACAGATGGGGAAATAACATGGGAAGAAAGAATACAGACCCTGATAGGAAGGAGAAGAGCCTGGTGGTTCCCTCCACTGTCCCACACTTTTCTCTTGCTCGTCTGATGTCCTAGGACAGTGGTTCTCAACCTGTGGGTTCCCAGATGTTTTGGCCTTCAACTCCCAGAAATCCTAACAGCTGGTAAATTGGGAGTTGTTGCACAAAACACCTGGGGATCCACAGGTTGAGAATTACTATCCTAGGACTTTAGAAAAATTGTTGAAATTACAGAAAAGGAAATTCCACCTGAACAGAATGTAAGAGCTGTTCAGCAGTGGAACCCTCTGCCATTGAGGCTTTCAGAGGTTTGGGTGGCTATCTGTTGTGGGTGCTTTGATTGTACTTTCCCTGTATGGCAGGGGGTTAGACTGGATAGCCCATATGGTGTAACCAACTCTGATTCTAAGGAATACTCAGAGATGGTTTTGGTTAGTTCCTTCTTCTAAAATATAGCCTGCAGGACCTGATATTTATTAATGATTTCCCATCCAACTACTAATCAGAGCTGTCCTCACTGAGCTTCCAAGATTAGATGGGATATGGTGCATTTACAGTTCTTAGGCAGTTGCTAAAGAAAAATCCTCTAAGAATATAAACTACTGTGCCAGGCAGTAGAAAACCTACTGCAAGCAGAATGAAACATTTTAAAGCCATAATGCAGAGTAAGCAACAAATGGGCCATTAACTAGATATCAATATCATTTAGTTTTAGGAAAGATTTAAAATTAGAGACGCAAACCATAACTAGCTTTATTTTTGCACAGTAAACTTTTAAAAGCCTATCACATGTGCAAGCCTCCATAAGCTTAGCCTTTAGTTTTTTGAATCTCCCACAATAATTTTCTGTGCATTTCTATAAAATCCACAGTATTGGAAAGTACAATAAATTTGTCTTGTAGTAAATATAGTACCCTTGAAAGAAATATTTGTGTGTGGCGGCTCTGTAATGGAAAGAGCTTTAATTAACTAAGAGATGAATAGAGGCAGCAAAAAAAAAAAATTCACATAGCCCAAGAACTCTGCAACATCATTTTTCTTCTAATCCATCGATGTTTGCCAAATGTTCCTAGTTCCATGCACCATGTCAGAGACGTGGAGAATCAATTGTACAGTTTGTGAGACTCAAGAAGATGTCAAAATACTGTCAATTTGGTCAAATGTTAAATGATGCCTTGAGAGACCAATTTATTGCTGCTTTGTACAATAATCAGACATGAGAAAAGATGCAGGCTGCCTCAGCATGAAACTCACAAAGTTGTAGAGAAGATTTTTTAATGTGCCTTTAATAGTAAAGTCATCCTTAAAAAGTCTATTGTTTGTTTGTTTGCTTGTGTACATTTTTTTCTTTTGGAAGAGCAGGATATAAATATCATAACCAAAAAAGTAGCATTTTTTACTGAGCAAAAGCCATACATAGAAATATTGTGA